AGCAGGCGGGATCGAGATAAATGTTCTGGCTGGGGAGGGATGGCGGGATAGAGGCAAAAGTAGTGTGTTCGACCTTCACTTATCACTAGCCTCACTTTGCAAGAATAAAACAAAGTGTTGGAAACACATCACATTATATTACTCTGTGTTTACTAAGACGTGCATATTTTTCAAAAGCCCTTAAATTTTCATATATCTTAAGAAAATGTGACTTAGAGCCACGTTTTTACATGATTTTCGTCATCCGTCATCGAAGGCTGAGACATGAAGCAGTAAAATTCCTCTGATTCTTACCTTTTTTATAGGATCTTGTGAGCAAGCTGATCGTTCTTGACCCTAAAAAGAGATTAACAGCAAAGCAAGCTCTAGACCATCCTTTTGTACAGGTAAATGTGAAAAAGTTCGAATTCTGACATATAAACTTTTGTGTCTGTAGAGGACTGCAAGTACCTGTAAAGTCCCCATGGGAATAAGGAATTATGGTTAATTAGTCACCAATCTGCTCGCGTTCCCAAAAGCTAGTCTGAACTAAACTTCCCAAGGCTGGGGATATTCTAAACCTTGGAAGACGTATCCCCAAAGTTCAAATCCAAGCTGGGGCAACCTTGATATATTGCCTTCTCCTCCAACTCTACTTTCACTGAAAGTTGCTTGCTTTGAGTGAGTTCAATTGTTCTCTCTTTTTGCAGGGTAAGGGTGCAAAACGCGACAAAAAGGACAAGAAGTTTTTTGACAAGTTGCACGAATTTAATGCCAGGCGAAAGTTCAAGGGGGGAATGATTGCAGTAACGGCCTCGACTGCATTTACTTTTAAGGCAAAGAAATAGGTTTGTTAGTGAACCATGCGGACTATCACACATGATCCTAGGTATGATAACTCTTGCTTCACAAGACGCAGTCAATTGATTTTTTTGACGATTGTTTGAGCTCCGATGTTCTTCGGACATTTATGAGTATTGTAAATGCAGACTTTTCTGCCTGCGTGGCTTCGTTTTTCACAACCTTTTTTTAAAAATGTCTATATTTGTGTTGTTGTTTCCGATTATTTTTGGCATCATATAATTTAACTAAAGATCGAAAGAGAGTTCTTACGAACATTTGCTAGAATGACATTGCTAAGTCGACCGTCCGGGTATGGGTGGGGATTGGGTGGGGTGGGGTGAGTGCTAATAATTTTAGTTAAATTATGGAAAGTTGTAATTAGTTACACAAAGTCTAGCAAGGTCTGTTAAAACGTTGATGTAGCTTAAAATGTAGGCATTTTAGGGTTTGATCTTATTTTTTGAATCTACACGATTCTCATGACCAGAACAGATATGCATGAGCCCTTTATTGTCGCGACAACATCTTCATAGTCAAAAGGTGAACTGCAAAAAGAACTATACGAGTCTAAAAACATTCTGAAAATTAGCTATTATTAGTCTTACTACAATAAAGCTCATCAGTTTTAGGAAGAGGTTTGGTCATTAATCTGTCTCACAACACTCTCGCATCCACTTTGATCCGTCATATGCATATCTGCATGAGCGAAAAGTTGGGGGAGAGAGCCTTCCACTCACCTCAGTCCCCCAGCGATTGCAGTCCGCCGGAGTTTGAGCGGCTGGCTGTCGATGCAATCGCGTAGTTTCTGATATCTTGAGTAGTGAATTAGGTGTGTTGTTGTTGGTTTCTGTGTGTTTCGGGAGACAAGGGAATGTATGCCAAGGTTTTGGTCTCTTGTAGGGTTGCAGCAACTGCTTTGGCCGTACAATCCTATCCTGGAAAGGCAGACCAATTGCAGTTCCAGAAGACGTGGTCTGCGCTTGACTCAGTGGGAACTGGTGCTACCGTCTGCTTCCCCACTGCCCTTCTCTCCCTCTCTCGCTCCAAAGCACGCCTGCCTAGACCCCCTGGATAGGTCACTTGTCTCTTGTTCTTGTTTTAGTTTTGCCATTTGTAAATATATTTACAAGTCAGCATTTACATGTCTGAGTTCAGTGCTGCTGTTCACAGAGTCAGAAACAACACGGTAGACACCATTCTCGTTCCCATAATCCTTTTTCGGGTCTACTTAATGGCGGGGCCTTGGCACGAGACAGCCCTCTGCAGGCAGGCTCGTCATTTTCGCGCCAAGGCCCCACCGGCTAAGAGACGCTAAAAGGGCTATGGGAACGAGAATGTGGAGAGTTATAAGTAACGTCTAAAACCGATTGGCGTAGTCCGGTTGTCTCGGATGGTGGGAGTCCCACTGGACACAGGGTTTCTGCTATCTTGAGTAGTTAATAAAAAAATAGATAAAAATAAAATAAACATAAGACCGACTTATCTAACGCTAAATTGCCAGTCCAATCGCGCTTTACCATACCCGAGTATAAACAAACTGGTAACGTTGCAAATTAGGAAAATTAATAATAATAAAGTAACTCTGCTACAAAATCCCCTTATAATCAGCAACTGTACTTAGAAAGGAGAGTCGGAGAGATTTGAAAGCGTCCGGGATAGCATAGTGTTGAGGCCCTATTACGGGTTTTCGGGATAGGGAATTTTTATTAACGGGGTACGGGATATTTTGGGGGAAAATTAGTGGCATGTTTTAGATGACATATAACAGGATGTCGAGTTGTAAAATCGTTAATTTTTACAACTGGAATTAACGGGATATTTAGGCCCAAAATTAACGAGATATGAGATACTCAGGCCTCCCCTAAGTGGGCCTCAGTATTGGAGCAGAAACTGAGAATGCCCTAGGAATTAAGTTCCTCCTACTAGTCCTACAGTGTTCTAAACCCCTAAAGTAATTAAAGTAATACAATATTTATTTAAAATGTCTTAACCTCTGAGGTAGAAATGTCTTTGTCCTAACAAAACCATTCAAATTGCCCTAACTCCCTGGAGAAAAAAAGTCCCCAAAAGAATTGAAGATCATTGAATTATTAGTTTCACTCTCGTTCTCTATAACTTCCTGCGTTTCCAACCTTTCCCCTTCAGTATTGAAAGAATCCCTCAACTTGGGATTAGGCGCGCACGATCAGACTTCTTATTACTCCCACCATGAGGGTCCGAGATTAGAGCAAAAATCTTCTCTACCATTGGTAGGTGAGTAGCATCTGTGCGGGGGACTAGTGAGGATAACTTTGGGAAGGAAACTGGGCGCTAAAAGAAAAGTTTACTTTGTGTTGGAGCGAGGAAAAGGTGAGGCGTCGAGGTTTGTGTAAAAAGCTGCTTTCATTTTAATGATTTATCACTCACTCGAACTCCTTAGATTCCTCAATAATGGACGACACTCTGAGTCAATTCATTGAAAAAACTGGAACGGATCCCAGCTTAGCAAGGGACTTGCTCGAAAGTACAAACTGGGACGTGGACGAAGCTTTAAGAGCTTTTGAAACGCTGTCTTTAGGTTCTGCTGTGAGGCACAACGAAAACATAAGCGGTGATAATAACCGAGTTACGTGTGGAAAAGCTAAAAGAGGACTTTCAATGGTAAATGCCGACATAGTCGTTGAAGCTAGGTCTAAAGTTATTGAGGACAAGGTACCAGGCACAGATGATAGATACGAACGCTTTGAGGGAATGTCTGATTTCACTTTCGTTTTGCCTGATTTATCCAACTTCTCTGAGGAACTGAGCGACTTCCTTCGCAGGGACTTAATTGAAACCTCGGCTTTAGTGGCGCTGGAGCAAGCAGGTAAATTAATATTTAGATATTAGCTTTGTTCTACCGTGCAGGACTCAAAGAATACAAAGTACAGTGTAACTGATATAAGCTAGTCCACAATTAAGCCGACATTTAACATCGTCGACGCAAGGAGGTTGGTTTCTGTTTTCATTCCTCCCAAGGGGTTAATTATTCAAATAGCGTTATGTTTAAGCACTGTTCAATTTGTTTCACCCATTGAATTTCCTTAGAGAAGATTTAAACTTAATTTGTGAACCAAGTGGATAACATTTGTTGAGTTTGCTTTCTTTACTGGGAGGTATTTTATTTGTACAATGATTCGTCGTGAATATATTATCTACATCGACATCTCCAAATATGTGATGTGGGTGTTAAGAAAACCATAACACATTTCAGTTTCCAAAAGCGATTAACTGGCAATTTGTTATTACTGTGGACTACGCAAGTGTTGAGAGCGTAGAAAAGGATCAGTTAGGAGGGTGTTTGGAAAATTTATTTTTTTTAGCATCATCAATCTTGCAGACATTTTTTTTCTTATTTTATTTCTCACAGAAAAGTACACGTAGAGTCATGATAAAAGATACAATCAGATTGTATGCACCAAATTACATGGCATTTTACTCAATCTCGCAGATATATTACAAGTACTCAGCGCCAAATTCAATATGTAAAAATGGCCAAATTTTACATTCATCTAGGACAAACATGGGCAAAAAATAATATTTTGTTTGATAATTCGTCTGTTTATTACAGTGTAATACCTGCAAATGGCAGGTTAGTTTGTCTTGACAGACAGCTACCGTAGATAATTCTCCATCTGTTTGCCTGTATTTACACACAGGTGAATACTACATGTATAAATAATTATCCTATTTGTTGCATGCTTGCACTATAACAAATTTTTTAGCTATGAACAAAATTATTTTTGATGTAAAAAACATAAATGGAACAAGGAAAATAGCAGCTTACTATGGTAGTTGTAAAAACAACAGCAGGGTAGAATTGAGCTAAAAAGGAACAGGGATGGTTATGACAACAGGTGACAAACAGAGGCTTCTTAAATATCATGGAAACAAAGATTGATGTCTGGTAGATCAGCTGTGTTGACATGGAAATTTGAATAATAATAATACTTTTTTATTAATAACAGTGTGTATCCACTGTGCAAGGAGCATTTTACCTTAACCAATTTACCTTATAAGATGGAAAAAATACAGTAATGAAACCATTTTTCGTGTGCTTACAAGTATTTTTCAAAAAGCCTGTTTTGAAATTAGTGTTCCTTTTGGTTTGTTTGTTTGTTCGTTTGTTTCTCTCAAATAATGCAACTACTGTAAGGGGTGACTTTTGTTTAGGCCAGTCTTGTTTGATCTTCTTGTTTGTGTCAATTTATTGAAAATTAAATTTAGCCTGCAATTACTTTAGCTGTAGATACTAACAACAAATTGATAGGCTCTGTCCCATATTAATGACTAATTTGCTGCCCACTGTTTCTGATATTAATAACATAGTAAACATACATGTAGAACTTCCATTAACAGCCTACTTTGTAGTTTTGACAGTCTGCTTAGAATGTATTAAAACCCCTGCAATTGATCATTTTCACATGACATCATCGAATTACAAAGTCCAAAACTAAAGAGCCGTGAAAGTTTTTATCCTCATCAGGCATAAAGGATCTAAATTTATATCTGTTTACACCTTTTCAGCTCAATAGCATGCTTCCTTTGGAAACCAGAGCATTTTGAATTTCAGCGTTATGGTGGTGCATAACATAAGCTATGATCGCCTTTATCAAATAATACATGTATAAACTTCGTGACCTTTAGCCTTTTTAGTAATGAAAATACTAGGAAAAGTGCTTGTGTAGATGTTTGTTGGTTCAGTTCAGATAATCAATTGAGTAGATAGCCAAACTGAGTTCCAGATGTTTACACTATTTTCTGGCTGCCATACTGGTGTACCACGGAGGTACACCAACATGGTGGCTCCAGACTGGGCACTGTAAATTTGCCCAAAACATTTCGACAAATATCTGAAGTTTGGGAAAATGCAGAGACCTAAAACTTGGAGAAGTGTTGTCTTTACTTATCTCCTATAACATTATAATTTCTTGACCTTATCCACTGAACAGTTTTTGATTTATTTTTTCGTTGCATGACAGTGAAAACAATCTACATGTATAGGGTAATCTTTGCACAGGTCAGCCAATGATGTATGCAATGGTTGTCTTAAGCCCTGTCCAAACAGGAAATGTTTGACTATCAAACATTGTTTGGTGACCAAATTCGAATGTCGACAAACATTTGACCACATATTGTTAAACATTTTGCTCGGTGATCAAACATGTTTGATACCGTTTGGCCACTCAGTACACCATCAACATTGTTTGGTCACCAAACAATGTTTGATCATGTTTGGTCACCAAACATTTCCTGTTTGGACAGGGCTTTTTATAATTATGTTACTATCAAACAAAACAAATCAAAGAGCTATGTTTTATTCTATTACAAATAACTTACGAAGTGTTAACTGTGGGTTGTTTTCATGGTGTTTTTATTTTCCTATCATTTCCTTGTTTCCTTTATGAACTGACAAGCACAGTTTTATTTTGTTAAATTACCTCTTTATGATCCCAAATGTTTCTAGGACGGTTAAACTGGTGGGCTGATGTGGGTGTTGGCCAACGTCTCCTTCCTCTCGCAACTGTGGGTGATGGAAACTGTTTATTACATGCTGCTTCTCTTGGAATGTGGGGATACCATGATCGCTTGTTAACCCTGCGTAAGGCACTGTATGGTACGCTCACAAGCCACTTGGCCAAGGGAGCTATCAAAAGACGCTGGCGACTGCAACAGTGGGAGAAGAACATAAGTGCTGGTGGTCTGCTGTACTCGGAAGATGAGTGGGAGAAAGAGTGGCAAGAGGTGTTACGAATTGCCTCTACCCAGCGTAGATTAGATCATGAGCAAAAGGCAATGGAAAGTAGGAAAGGAGGAGAAACAGTAGCAACTCTAGCCACTATAGCAGAGAAGGACAGTGACGACACATCTGATGGTCCTGGAAAAGAGGACATGACTAGCAAAGTTGACCAATCAGAGACAGGAAAGCAAGAGGAAGGGAAAGATAATTTGGAATGTCGAAGTTACTCTTCTTCACAAGAAGGACTGAATGAGACTGAGACTGAGGGAGGGGCTTTTGAAAGCCTTGAAGACGTTCATGTCTTTGTCCTAGCGCATGTTCTGCGACGTGCAATTATAATCATAGCTGACCAGTTTTTGTATGGATTTGAAGGTGAGCCTATTGCACCCATTCCATTTGGAGGGGTGTACCTTCCACTGGAATGTGACCCCAGTACTTGCTTGAAGAGCCCCTTAGTGCTTGCTTTCGATTCAGCGCACTTTTCACCTCTGGTTCCAAGTGATGAAAAGAAAGACACCAAGAGTGATTGTTTGAAAGCCTCTGTGCCTCTTGTTGGACCAAACTATGAGTTGCTACCAATTCAATTCTCTGTAGATCCTGGGGAAGATTTTTTGTGGAGCAGCCTGGATGACGATTCTAGCATTGTAGAGAAATTGGCTCTGAGTATGGATAAAAAGCTAGAGCTTTTGAAGAAATATTTAGATGTGGATTTGATTAAAATACCAAGTGCAAGCAAGAAAGATACTTCTGAAGATAGCAAGTCAACAGTCAAAGGCGAGAAATCATCCGAGGCAGGAAGCAGTGATGGTGGAGTCAAGCCTGAGAAAAAATTGTCTTCAAAATCTGTTGAAAAGAAGGAGAAGTCTTGGATTGCTACACAAATTCTGAAAGTGGGCACTATGGCTGGAGTCGTGGGAGGTGTGGTCCATAGTGATATTTATGTTGCAAAACTGCAAACAGACAAGAAACCGGAGTACTATGACAAGATGATGGAAAATTATATTCAGTCTGCGAAGCTCCGATTTGAAGAGGAAAAGAAATCCCAAGTGAAAACTGACAAAGGTACAGGAAATACCGGAGAGAAACCTCAGCCATGTATCAGTCCTGGTTGTCAGCTGTATGGGACTTCAGCTACAAATTACCTTTGTTCTGGTTGCTTCAAGACTCAGAAATCTTACAGTGAAACAGGCCGCTATCTTGACGGCTCAGCATCAGCTGGTGGCAGTTCATCTGTGTCAAATTACGATAATAGTGGTTTACGAAGTTACTGGCCACCCCCTGCATACTCTGCGTATGTTCCTTTTGCGTATTTTGGAGATCGTACTGGGCCAACACAAAGTCACAATACTTCAACTTTAGATCAAAGGACTATGCAGTCAAGCAGGGAAGGTCAAGCCAGTCCTCCTTCATATGACGAAGCAATGAAACTAAGTAAAAGTACAGCATCTAGTCTGCCATCTGGTTCTGCTGTCAAGCTTGATTCATTTGGTGATAGTGCAGGAAAAGGTCACAGCTCTGCAGGGCAATCTGTCATCAATTGCACTAACAGAGACTGCCAGTTTTATGGTAGTCCAGAAAACAAGGGATATTGTTCTAAATGTTTCAAAACATATAGAAAGTCATTGAAGTATATGATAGAAGAAAATGAGGCATCAAAACATAAAGTCATCTGAGATGGATACGTCACTGTTTTTTACTCATTTGACCTTGCTTCTGAAATGTTTTATTGTAGTCTGCAGGTTGCTGGTACTGTAGTTAAGTAATAGCAATTCCATGTTGTCAGACGCCAACCACACAGAAACGTAAGCAAAAGCTCACTCACTGCAGGGCTCAAAAAAAATGTGGTGCTGTCATGGACAAGCAGGTTTTTCTTCTTACTTACCCAATGGGAAAGGATCCATGCAAGTTGTCTCCCAACTAAGGCGAAACAAAAGTAAACTTAAACTTGCCCAGGGCAAAGAAAATGTGAAAGCTGCTTGTTCAAAGTGCAAGGTGGAATCAAATTTCTTTTTTGAGCCCTGCACTGGCATTGAAATGCATTAAGAGAGTTTCTATGAACATGCCACAGAACGCTAATAGGAACACATTCTTACCAAGTGGAAGACATTCTTTTATGTTTTCATTAATTTTTATGTGCTTCTTATCTAGAGTTTGTTGCATTATGTTTGTTGAGTATTTTGTTACTTAAAAAAGGAGTTACAAGATGAAGGATTTTGGAAGAAAAAAACTTTGAAACCTTCAAAATAGTACACCTGCTCTAGAGGACTTGTCTGCTAGTTAAACACTCAGTAATGGTCCCAACTACATATAACACTAGTAGACTACCTGTACACTGTTTACCCTCCCATAATGGGACACCTCCCAAGCAGATCTGCTTACAAACTATTCGGACCTTGGCTTCTTATGGCACACCTGGGAAAAGTACATTTAAATTGAACTCAAATACTTTGAATGCCTTCCAGAAGGGGCCATCCCGATAATGGGCATTTCCTTAAAGGAGACTCCTGATGCAGTGGGTTCCTGTACCCCACCCTCTACACACTCTGTCAGAGTGGAACATGTGTAAAAAGGATAGGAAACTCCATTAAGCATGGTGCATCAGACTAAACATTGTTGTAAGAATGCTTTGTTAACACAGAACATACTCATTTCCATTTTACTCATAACGTTGTCAGGGCCATGTAACGGTCTCATCTTTTTTCACTACACTACACCAATAATAATTAGAATTTATGAGAATATTCAGAATTTTAGTACATACAGTGGAGTCCCCCCCACCCCCCACCGTTCAAAACAGTCACCATGTTAATACGGTCACCCCTTTATTACGGCCACTTTTGACCTGGCGAAACGCCCATACATTTTCGTAAAAGAAAACCCCGTTAATGAGGAGCTACGTCACGGTTTGCTGATCTTGAAAAGTTTAACCTAAATATTTCAAGTTCGTCGTTTGTAATCCGTGTTAATTTTCTTCATCCTTAACCATCCTTGTTTCTTTATGGTTTATTGTTATCTCATTGGTGTTTTTCTAGCTTAGGAAACTTTTATTTTTAGGTTTCCTTCGATTTAAAGGTAATTTCGTACGTGGCCAAAATAACTCAACGTGACTGTGTGGTAGCTTGGCGTGACTGTGTAGTAACTTGGCGTGACTGTGTAGTAACGTGCCGTGACTTTCTTTTTTCTAGGATGATGAAGAACCTGGCCAAGGCCCTAGAAATAATATTGATCATCTAGTAGAAAGACTGAAAAAAGTACATGTTGAGTTCATGGAAAAATCAAACGACTATGACAAAATCCACAACGAGGTTGTCCAGTCAGAGCAGGTTGGTGACGTGTTTTTGTGTAGGTCACGCAATCGGCTCAAGAATTCCTTGTCACGGAGTACACTCCTGTAAAGGTGAATTAATCAACATGACACGAGCGTGGGACAAAGAAAAATTCTGAGTCCCCGACAGGAATCGAACCCATGACCTCCCGAACACCAGGCGG